GCCACATTACTGACAGTGTCCTCTCTTTTTAAAAATGTATTTAAAAAATGCATTGTCATCAAGCCAAACAAGGCTGTTCTTTATAGATCCCTAAATGTCACAGTTAAGATTACGATATATTTACTAATATCTTATATAAGCACATCTAACACTAAATGTAACATATTTAGCGTTTATAATTTTAAGAATCTTTTTACATTAAATGCATTGTTCATAATGCAAAACGATGTTGTCATGATCCGATCTGATTTTTTTAAATATGCAGTATTTGTTGACAAATATTCATTAACACTTAATTAAACCATTTATTATATGTTTGTTTGTATACTGTATATATTAGGGCTGCTCAATTAATCGTATTTTAATCACAATTACGATTTTGGCTTGCAACGATTATGAAAACAACATAATCGAAACAAAACGATTATTTATTTTAATTTTGCATTATTATTTATTTTAAAAAATGTGTATATATTATTTTCTGTATTGGTTTTACAATTGAATTATACTTAATGTTCAGGGTAATCAACTGTTAAAAACATACTACACCTTTTTTTTCAATAAATTTCAATAAATTGATGTTTTCAAAGTAAATGGATAAACGTTTTTAATAATCGTGATATCAATTATTGATCCAAATATTCGAGATTATGATTTTTGCCATAATCGAGCAGCCCTAATATATATTACTAATAGATGATAGATAAGGGGGCAGATTGGTACTATACAATTGTATTAAAGCAACATATTTTAATTTGAATAGAAGTTCAGTACAAAAGCCAAAAATGCAAATACTCAGCACTTTTAAATTCCTCTAAAATACATTACTTCAGTACAGTAAATGTACGCATATTCAATACATGGTTCCTTCCCACCTCAACACTCTCCTTCACCCCCATCATTCAGTCAGTTATTCCGCATCAGTCGGTTCCACAGGAGGATGACGTGCACTGAAGCTCAATGTCACTGGAGATGTTTGACTTTATCTATAGTCATTCACTCATGAAGGTGTCGGTCTTTATGGCTCAATAAGGAAACGTGTCTAGGTGTAATTACTGAGAGAAGAAGAAGATGGGAGGTGAGAGGAAAGGGAATAAGGATGAAGGAAGGCTGGTGTAGGGCTGCTCAATTAATCGTATTTTAATCGCAATTACGATTATGGCTTGCAACGATTACAAAAACAACGTAATGGAAATAAAACGATTATTTCTTTATTATTATTATTACTTTTTTTCAATTTCCTTTTTTTTTTGTTGGGGTTTTTCAGTTTAATTATTCTTCAAGTTCAGGGTAATCAACTGTTAAAAACATACTGTTCACATTTTTGTTCTCCAATAAATTGATGTTTTCAAATAAATGGATAATCGTTTTTAATAATCGTGATATCAATTATTGACCCAAATAATCGAGATTATGATTTTTGCCATAATCGAGCAGCCCTAGGCTGGTGCTGTTTCTGCTGTGTGGAGCTCCATGAGTGGTACAGTATAAACACAGCTGCTCTCTCAGGATGACATCATATTGCAGGGTTTTATTAAAGGCCAGTCACTTCCATACACCATGTCTATTTCTCCCTTGCTCCTTCCATCTCTCCCTATTCCCTCCCTCCCTCCATCTGTCTTTACTCATATGATTCTCACTCAGTTCTCCTGTTCATCCTTCCGCAGCTACATCAGCTCCATCCATTTCCTCCTTCCATGCATCCTTGTGTCATTCCTTCGAAGCATCCTTGATTACTACAGCACTCATCAGTCCTGCTGGCCTTGTGGCTGCAGGTGTAAAAGGACTGTATTGTTGTAATGGATGTAATCTCAGATGTGACTATAATCATTAGGATGTTTACTACAGCTTCAACATGAGCCATATCAAGTGAAGTCAAAGCAGTAATGTTTTCCGTTGATCAGGTTTAGCTTATCTCAGTTACATGTGTTGTGTAACGCCCGTACAACAGGAACAACATGCTGCCCCGACAATGTGTTAGGGTGTGACTCACTGATTTTATCTCAGAGAATGAAAAAAGTGAAAATGAATCAAAACTTTAAGAAGGCCTCCTTCCCTAAATCAGAATAATGTCAGAACATACCACACAAACACCTTTTTATACTATGGCATGATAGAAGTAGCATTTTTATAATTGGTATTAACTAAAATACCCACATTTAATTAAAAGGATTAGTTGAAATTAGTGAATAGTAGCCTTTGATTGCACATAGTGT